CTATAAAACTATCACCACAATCACAATAATAAACATCTCCATTATCCCCAAGGATTTCCTCCTGCCTTTTGATCCCTTCCTGTTCTCCAGTCCCTTGCTCCCCTTCCCAGGCTACTCTCTTATTTCTGAGCACTTTAAACATCTGTGGTAGTCTACAAAATAAATGGCCTGTGATCTTCACAAGTATGAAGTTCATGGAAGTCAAGGAAACTTGAGGAATTGTTTCCAGACTGAAGGCTAAAGAGACATGAAAACTAAATGCAATGTGTAATCTTGGATAGGAACTTTCTGCTATAAAAGGCATCTTTGGAATGACTGCCAAAACATGAAGGGGTTGTGGGTTTGACGTGGTAATGTAGCAGTGTTAGCTTCCTTATTCTGATGGTTGTACTGTAGGAAAATGTCCTTGTCACAGGAACTATACTCTAAAGCTATGCTGTCCAGTATGGTGGCAACTAAGCCACTGATACCTATAAGCACCTGATATGTAGCTAACATGACACTGAAATAATATTTTGGATATGAACAAAATGTATTAAAATAATTTCTCATTTTATTTTTTAATATGGGCTACTAGAAAATGTTGCCTTGAGAGCAACGTAGACAGTCTTCCTTTCGATAGTAAGGAAACTGAAGCTCATAAAGTTTAATCTGTGTAACATTATGCAGCTGGGATTCAAATCTAATTCATTCCCCTCTGTATAAAAGAAGGTACACCAACATAACTATCTTTGACAAGTCATTTTCTCCCTCATTACCCTTTCCCTTCATAGGACTTACACAATTCATAATTCTCTTGTTTATTATGTCTCCCAAAGGAAATGTTAGTTCTGTGAGAGCAGGTATCTTATCTGACATTTTGTAGCTATTTCCCAGTGCTTGGAACATAAGTGCTCAATAAGTTATTTATTGAATGAAAAAAAAATTAACATTTTTCCCAATGTGTAAAATCTTTTGATTCTTTTTTGGGACTACAATGCAGTTATTTACAAAAATTTTTATTTTTCTTTAGGTATGTTATGTATAAAAGTGGATACTTTCCATAATAAATGAAAATGGCCAATTCTTTAAGAGGAGAAGTACTGAATCTTTATAAAAATGTAAGTAATTATGTTGCCAGTTTTATACATGTTATTGAGATACAGATTTAGAAATATGTAACCTTTCTTTTTTAAGCTGCTGTATCTTGGACGAGACTATCCAAAAGGAGCAGACTATTTTAAAAGGCGTCTGAAGAACGTTTTCCTTAAAAACAAAGATGTGAAGGATCCAGAGAAGATCAAAGAACTTATTGGACGGGGCGAATTTGTAATGAAAGAGCTAGAAGCCTTATACTTCCTTAAGAAATACAGAGCAATGAAACAACGCTATTACTCAGATATCAACAAAACTAACTGATCGCTATTACTATAATTTGACTGGAATTCAGTGCCAGCTGTTTATGTATACCAGATATGATAAAAGTAACTAACTTAAAATGGCAAGATTTACACGTCATGTAAAAAAATGCCTGAGCTGCCTTAATGAACTAAAATAGGTTTCAACTTCTGTTCACAGAGCTTTATCAGCAATCCTTAATGTTTAATTTTTATATAAAACCAGCAATATAGCCAACTACCAATTAAAAATTAATGCGTACCCAATTTTGAATGAAAATATAATGTACTTAAAATAATTTTATTAAGTTTTACCAATTATTCTTAGCCCATTTCTCCATTTTACTGACAAGAGAATGCCATTTAATGCATGTAACTAAGCAAAATAATTTATTGCACATTAATTTCCCTTAACTTTTGAAGGAGTACCATCTTATTTCCTTATTTTTGAACCTATTTGGTACATTAATAGCACACATTCAAGGTTCACTATAAAACAAATAGCACATGGTAATGATTTAAGTGCAGTTATAGAAATAATATGTATGGAGTAAGATTATTTCTGATCTTGAAGTAGGCTGCCAGTGATTGGCATTATATACATACCTATTTAATATCTTCCATTATTAATTTTGCTTCTGGCTCCCTTTGGGTCTTAAAACAAGTCACCTGTTGTGTATCAATTACCTTTACTGATAAAAAGTAATAAATAATGTTATTCTGTTCTTTCATCATAAAGGCAGATCTGTTTTGCATCTACTTCTTAATGAGTTAACACAGTAATGGACCTAAATCTAATATGGTTTTAAGCAAACACTTAAACCTTTACATAATGTTCACAGCACCTTTCACAAATAAAGAATATATCTAACATATAAGCTGCAAAAGATTCACTAATAATAGGGTCTGTGGCTTATAAACTATTCCGTATCAACTGTGGGGCAAATGTTTCAAATTTCAAGAAGTACACACTACCATAGTCACCATAACTATTTTTATTACATTACAATAATTAGGAGCAGTACAGTTCATGACAAAAATATTACAAATTTCAGATCACTTCACAGCACATACTCCTATAAACATTTAAAAGTTAATTTTAATTAAAAGAGTGGTCATTTTTAAATTTAATGTTTGATATGACCAACATTCCTAGGTCAGCGCAACCAAATGATGGCAAACAACTGGATCACACTGCATATGTCCCACAAAAAAAAGCACAATGTACAAAATGTGCATGTTTCAGTTTACACTATACAAAAATAGTTAAAATACATTCCAGGTAAACATGTTACATTAAGAAATAGTACTAGTAAGAAATTGGCACTCAAAGGAAAAATGCAAAAGTATTTTCAACATGAAAACACAAGACAGTGGAATTGGAAACTTTTGGATAAAACATTACATAACCCATTTAGCTCTGTGGGGAGGGCGACCCTCTAATGGACATTTCTGTAAGTTAGAACTTTGTTTTTTCCTAAATTCATCGAAATTGCCTATCATCATCCCAAACAGGCACTTAAAACTATTAAACTAAAACAGTTATTAATCTAGTTATGACTATTCTTCAAGAACTGATGTAAATATATCTTTAGGAAGAAATAATTTTCATTTTCTGAAGGAATTTACAGCTACCAGTTGTATGCTGTTCAATTTCTCAATGCAGATTTCATGCTACTCAACACTAATACAGAAGTTATTAAATATAAATGCAGTTTTAAAGTAACGGATGGTTTTTTAAAAACCATTAATACAGTTATCAAGAAATTACTTTTTGACAATGGAAATGACAGTTTTTATTGCCTACCAAAAAAGCAATGTGTATTTATTGTTTTGAAAAAAAAAATGGTTAGAAGAAAAAAATCACTGGAACACAAATGAGATGAACTTGTGCAAACTGCAACTGAACATGCCTCACAAAAGTTTCTATATATATTAGGACAAAATTGTGCAATGGTGGCAAAGATTTTGATAACCTGTAAGTTAGGTTCTAAATTCCTATGCAGTGTGACTCAGTTAAAATAGAGCCTAGAATTCCTAATTGGGAATATTCACTCAAATTATACTACATACTTCTGCTATGTTCTTCCACAAACATGTTAATGTCTAAGACTATGTAATTTAGCAATTTTTTCAACTCCAAGGATTTTTATCTTTAAGGCTGTAATAATTACATAGTATTTCTTTCTAGGATTATCACTCCCCTTTTAAAATCTCTACAAAAACAAACCTTTTGTCAAACCATTCAAAATTCACATCATAAAGGATGATTACCACTGCCTTAAAAAAGTTGCCCAGCTACATCAAAAAATTCAAGAGTCCTAAAAATCCCTCAGTTATGCACTGCAATTCCTGAAGTATGGCCATTTCTTTCTCTTGTGTAGAAACAAGAGGAAGTACTATATAAAGTCTTAACACACTAGATAATGTTCCATAAACTTGTAGTTTAGCATAGCATTTCAGAAATTGGACTGAATTTTACACAGAAGTTCCCTTTTCTGTGAATTAGTTCAGGCATCTGTTTATTCATACCCAGATAAATAAAACTATTTTTGAATTCAATATTTAAGTCTATTTTAATTATGATACAGAGACCAACTAGAATGTTACACACTTGGGAATTTTAATGTTATCATCTGACATACGATTTAATGTATACTACAATTGTCCCAATAAAGTCTCATAATTATCCCAAATAAAAAATATAGTCAAGTTTACTCCCTTAAAATAATGAAGTAAAGTGATTTATATAAAGTAGCTTGATTAAACAGCTTTATTGGAATCAGAGCAAAACAATTATTTTAGAACTGGAAGAAACCTTAGAGACCATATCCCTTCTTTGCAAAACTAAAATATGCATTATCTTATCTCTGGGTCATGTGCCAAATGCCTCACTAAGATTACAGACCACTCTAAAATATCCGCACTACTTAAGGATAGGAATTAGGTCCCTTGTTGGGGATACTATGTAGTATCCCCACTGCCTTGTGCAGTACCTGGCATCCAATAGGCACTCAAATATTTGCTGGATAAATGAATTCTGCTAAAAAGTAAGCTTTATGAATTAAATTTTGAAGTATTTTTCATTGTAAGATTTTACTTATTAAAATAATGGAATGTATCACTGTTACCAGGTCTAGTCCTAGTTTTAGATTATCTAAGGAATCTTTCAGTATTTATTAATTAAATTTATTAAATTCTTCTACTGGATAGGGTCTGTCTATTCTTAGCAGGTATGAAAAATCCTACTTTTCCTACTTAGCCACTAGTCGACCAGGTAGCAAAAGAGATGATGTTCCAAGGATCAAAATTAAATTGCGATAGCTACCACCTGAAAATTAGCTATTAGGTCAAATCCTACTACAGTATCTGTCAGATTATGTTGAGCCTGAACAATGTGACTTGATGGGAAGCCTTCATGGAGATACCCAAAGCAGCAATAAATCTTGAGGTTAGGGGAATTAGAAGAAAGTCATGTGGCATGTAGAAGGGTAGGCAGGCAAGATGACACTAATATGGGAGAGGAGTACGGCTACTGGAGAACAGAGAGTCAAAAATAAACTTCACCTCTTGCACAACTTTGTCTAAGACTGGCGCTGAAGATAACACAGGTAAAAAGTTACAGATTGTGCTGAGATTGACAAATTGGTATATCCTTATGTAAACTGAAGGTAAATCACATAGTTGTAATGCTAGCTAAGCCTGAGATGACTTCTTTTAACATGAAGAAATGGATAGTAAGTGATTTGCCCAAAACTGAAATTGTAAAAGACATGTAACTAGAATCTAAGTCACCTTCCTCCTAGTCCAGTGATATTTTCACCTCAACACACCATCTCACTTCAGATATTTAAAAATACATTTTAAATGCACTGAAAGAATCACTGTTATTAATTTATTATTTAAGCATTAGATATTCTTAAATACGGACCATACTTGCAAAGTGTGTATGAAATGTTACTTTAGCCAGTGTTGAGAACTAGCCAATACTAAAGATTTTGAAACTTTTTCACTTCATTGTTTTAAAAAAAAAATTAAAGTCTTGCCACCCCCACCCCAAAATCTTAATTGAAATGTTTTTAAAAAGTTCTATTTTTTTTTTTTTAAACAAAAGTGATGTTCCTGATCTGTCAGCAGGACCACCACATAGTGAGGATGCATCTTATCCAAACTCTCCTCATCCCCATTTCTGATCACCCAATTCATGACAACACTGGGAGACCACAGGGATGCCAGTCCATACTATGAAACTCTTAATGAAGCTCAAAGATTTACACAAAGCCTGGCCTTGCAACCTTGGTCTCTTTAACATCTACTAAAGCTAACTGGCCCAAATAATCTTTAACGTCACTACCAGAATTAAAACTATTCTCTAAGACCAAAGATCAAGAAAAGATTTAAAGTTATGCTAAGAAAGAGCAATCTGGCACAGGGAGACTGTATTTAATTCCTATGGGAATTTTTTATACATGTTAAAATGTTTTCAATTAATACAAAAATTTAGTAGCATGTAAATATAGCCCCAAAATGGTTGCAATAATCCTCATTACATACTGGGTCTGCCTTAACAGGAAAAGTTATTCAGAGTATTATAGGAATTTATCTAATATGGAAAGTAAATGCCTTTTAATATTTTCCATTGCCTTGTATTTTTTTCCATTTTTTTCCCTTTTTATAGAAAAAATATAATATTTTTGGGAGCGTGACTATGACAAATAGCAGTGAAAGATGGAGAAAACCTTTGTGAACAGTGTAACTTTACATTCATTAAGGGTGACTGAAACTATAGGACATTACACCTACAAGATGAATTACAAGAAGCCCATAAATTCATGTTCCCTCAATGTTTCAGTAAAACCAATCATGAAATCTCAACTGAAGTTATAATTAGTAATTAATCCATGTATGTGACTAGATAAAACACAGAATAGGGATGATTCAAAAGCTTCATTAATTTGTTTCACATCAAAGTTCACAATTGGTTAAGAAAAATAGGAAGTAATCAACTGCATGCACCAAAAACCCCGAGACCGAAATCTCAGGTATTCAGTTTCTTTTTCACAGGCATTGCTAGTTCAAAAACCAAAACTCAGGGAATACTGGCACTTAGAGGAAAAAAGTTTCCACTGTCATTTTAAAATAAGCATTCAAGATAAAAGCTTAACAGTTCAGATGGAGCAGAAAATTAGGTAATGCTAAAACAAATGCTAATAATTTAGTGTAATGTACAAAAATTACCACTTTTACTTAAGTATGCCTTAAGAAAAAAGTACAAATTGTATTTACATAATTATACACTTTGTCTTTGACTTCTTTTTCTTCTTTTTACCATCTTTGCTCATCTTTTCTTTATGTTTTCGAATTTCTCGAACTAATGTATAGAAGGCATCATCAACACCCTGAAACACATGACAAATATTAAAATGTGAGTATATATAATGGATTGAGGTATACAGATAACAGAAAGAATATATAACTACTGGAAACACTAATACTGATAAAGAGTAAGGACACTTTACATTTTTCTTTAGGCAACTGAATATATGTATCAGACTTTTATTCTTAAAATGTCTTCTTCATGAATATTTCATCAATATCATAAATAGGAACACTAACTTTCACTTTTGTGAAAATCAAATGTAAAATCAAATGTACACAATCTTACATAAACTAAACAAATAAATTTTTCCCAGAACTTAACTTTGCTACTCATTTTTCCATATTGGCATACTTTGTCACCAAATTCCAAATGCACTTGTGTTTTTCTGTGTGTGAATATACATTTACACTTAATTATCCCGGAGTTTCTAGATATTAGATATAAGCCATGCAAGTATATATTATTTTCATAAATACTCAGTAACAGTATTTGAGCTCTGGGTTCAATACTTACTCAAATATCCTTTCAGCTTTCAAATAATATATATTAAGGCATAGTTTCAATTCAATACTTAACATATAGAAACTTAAAGTTGATTCCAAAGATAAGACACAATAGTTCGAAAAATGTAATACCTCAGATTTGTAAAGAAATGAGCTAAATCATTTAAATGGTGGGGTAGTTACCAATTTGGAGTAGATTCTCTTTTATTTATTATTGTTTTAGTTTCTGTTTAATACATTATGTATTCAAAAGTTTGCCATAATAAGCCAAATTGCTGTATCTTCAAAGAAATTTTCATTTGGTCATTTTGATACATCTATTCCTGATCAAAGCAAGGTGTATAAGTAAGTAATGGCTGAAAGTGATTTCAAGTCAGAATAATTTTTATCCTAAATTCATAAGGTAGAAAATGGCACTCTGAAAGTGGTAGCAGAACAGATTTTAACCCTGCAATACTGAAATTATACAAGACTACAGAAGTCAATTCCTGTCATGACCCCATTAAAAAGCAAGTTAAATATAACAGCAAAATAAAAAACTGAAGAAAACAAATTTCAAAAAGTATGATCCTCTATGTATTTTAAAATCTGTTTAACGGAAATAGTAATTATTTTTAAGCCTGTTAACCTAATGATGCTTTCAAACAGAGACACTAGAGGGAGTCCTAAGAACAAATACCCAGCAAATAAAGTTGTATAAATCAAGCTACTTTAAGAACAATGAAAATTGGGTTTTTACTCATCATAACCACTTCTGTTGAATATTCATATAAATGCACTCATTAAGTTATATTATCTTGAACATAATTTAAAATTTAAAAACTTAACAGTGATATGATTTCTCCTTTACTACACTACTAAGATCTTTTACAATTAATATTTCAAAATAATAAAATTAATTCAGGGCATTTTCATTCAAGTTACATTTAACTAATTTTCACAACAGATCTAAAAATCAGAAAAATATTATCACTATTTTTAAAGAAACACAGAGCAGGAATGACAGGCTTGCTCAGGTTTAAATAGAGTTGAAGGGGTGCCTGGATGGCTCAGTTGGTTAAACAGACTCTTGATTCTGGTTCAGGTCATGATCTGGGGGTCGCAAGATCAAGCCCCACCATGGGCTCCGCCCTGAGCGCAGAGTATGCTTGAGATTCTCTCTCTTCCTCTCCCTCTGCCCTTCCCCCGCACCCCTCACTCCCTCTCTCTCGCTCTCTCTCTCTAAGGGGCACCTGGGTGGCTCAGTCAGTTAAGCATCCAACTCTTGATTTCAGCTCAGGCCATGATCTCAGGGTCCTGGGATCGAGTCCCACATCAAGTTCTCCTCTCAGCAGGGAGTCTGCTTGAGGATTTCTCTCTCTCTCTCTCTCCCCCACTGCCCCTTCTCCCCGTTCTCTCTCTCTAAAATAAATATTGAAAAAAATATATCTTTTAATATGTAAATAAATAAATAGTTCTGGATAAAAACCAGAGTTTTTGTGTGAAGTCTAGTTAAAAAAGTCCCCAATAAAACACCCAAACTGCACTCAACTGATGTTCTCCACTTTCTGATTATCATTCATTACTGACACACATATGCTTTTTCTTTACCCAAAGGAGAGAGGAAAAGTGATAAAATATAATTTTTCAGCAATACAATCAAGGCTTAATTATATAAACCTTCATGCTAACACTTTTAACACATAAAAAGCAAAAACTTCCAATGATATAATAAAGAATAATTATTTTATAGCTCACCAACCCAACTAATTTATAATCATAAATCCTTAGAATGGTATGGAATCTTAAAAGAGGATCTAGTCCAACTCCCCCACCCTTCACAAATTCCCTTTGATCACACACACAAGCTTATGTAGTCTACCCCACTTCAACTGCTTTTACAATGAAGAAAAATGTCAATGATACTAAAATGGTGAAGCAGATAAAATGAAAAACCATGATATAGATATAGAGAAGACACATTCTAAGGTGAAAACGACACACGTATTTAGGAGACAATGAAAACAGAACTGTTAACATTACCTTCTTCAAAGACTCTGACAAATACTTTAGGTTAATATTGTATTCTTTCTTAATATTGAACTTTTTTATGTAACTTATTAAAATTAAATAATTTCAAAGATTAGGGATAGGTTATAATTAGTAGAAACAGGGCACTGAATTCCTTTTTTCCATATGGGAATTAGTCATTTTCATATACATATATAAAAGACAAAAATATTACCCCAGTAATTTTGCTGAAACCCAACCATTTTAGGACTAAGAAAAACTAATTTGTATATATTTATTACTGTCAATTTAATAAAACTATTTTATTTAAAATTTTAAGTATTACCAACTACATTTTATTTAAATGCTTTCCATGCCCACTGAAGAAACAAGGACTTAATTCATCATGCCCACCAACTGACATTCACACTACATAGTCACAAATAAGAAATCAGAAAATGATGTGCTTCCACCTTTATTTTAAATAAAAGTTAAACTGTAAAACTTATTTTATTGTACTTTAAAAATCACCTCTAGTAAGACAATAGGAGGAGAAAATAAAAAAACCCACCACCTAAATCTGGTCATGGCTACTGTTATTTAAAAAGTTTAACTTCTCAATTACATTGCAATGTTAAATTTTATCAGAACTTCTAAATTAAGATATTGTCCTATACAATGATACTCAAACAATATTAAGAGTTCATAAATTTCAATAAAAATTAATGCCAGTCATGCTTTATTTCTTCTTCTGAGGTTAGCAGATTAGTATAACATCTATCTTTTGGGACTGAGTCTATTCAGATGTACATTTTATGCTTTTGGGAGATACACTAATTACTTCAGACCTTAAATCCACATAATAAAAACTACTGAGTGAAATCTTTTCTGAGCAAGACCAAATTTGGTAATTGGTTTAGAAAGGAAAACTGGGGCACCTGGGAGGCTCAGTCGGTTAAGAGTCCAACTCTTGATTTGGGCTCAGGTCATGATCTCAGGGTTGTGAGATGGAGCCCTGTGTCAGACTCCACGTCAGCATAGAGTCTCTCTCTCCCTCTCCCCCACTGCATGCATGCCCAAGCGCATGCACATGCTCTAAAATAAATAACTCAATCTAAAAAAAAAAAAGGAAACAAATTCCACTCAGTAAATCCAAATGGGCAGCTATTATGTGCCAGTAATCTTGTTAGGCCATCATCACGCAAGGATTGAAAATACATGATTCTGGCTAAGATTCTACTGTATAGGAAGCAAACATAAAAGAGCTTATTTCAATTTAACATGGCAAGCATGTAACAGTTAAGAACAGTATATTGGGAATACACAGGAAAGGCATTATGCCTAGTTTAAGGCTATAAAGATTGATTCTTGGAGAATAAACAACCATGAAAAAATGTTAGCTAATTAATAAGACTATGGATAAAGATAATGGCATTCCAACCAAAAGCAACAGCCAAGACTCAAGGGAAGGTAAGAAATAACATGGTGTTCAAGGACAAAAAAAAAATCAACAAAAGAAAACTTCAGGCAAGGAGTTTTTAGGGATAAAGCCAAAGGCTAGGAGGGTAGAAAGATGTTAAAAGACTATATAACATACTATGAAGTTTGAGATTTTACTCCATAGGTAACAGGAAATCAGTGACTGGACTTAAAGAAAAGAGAATGACATTTCTTTTAAGTGTATCTCTCCAGTTGCACTGCGAATAAAGGCAGCAACAGATAAGCCAAATAAGAGAATATAACAGTCCCAGCAAGAAATGACAGGAACCTGAACTAATGATGTGATAAAAGTCAAAATGTAACATCAAAGGAATTTGTGGTTGCCTCCAAATGAGAGTGCAAAAGAGGGATGTCAGAGTCATCCCAAGACTCCCAGGTTTCTTACTTGGGTAAAAAAATGATGCTGATGCCACTGAGTTAGAGAACACAGGCAGAGTAAGTATCTGCTTGCAGAATGTCCAAAAGAAAGAATACATTGTAAGAGTGGGTCCTTCCCCACCCCTGGACCATTCAACCTTACTCTCTATGCAGTTTCCTACCTTTTTTCTTTCTACACCTGATGACAAATGTAGTCTACAGCTATCAAAACTGCATCAATTATAATTAATATGCATTAGATTAAAAATAAATGTACTACTTATGGAAATAAACTACCTATTTCTTATCTTTTAATACTTCAAATCAGAATCCCACACCTAGGTAGTTCTAACATGGTTGCTACTTTGTTACCTTTGAAAGACATCTGCTTTCTGCCAAAATTAATATGCTGAACTTACCAGATTACATTACAATGCATTTTTTAATTTTCACACAGCCAGGAGTCTTTTCTTCTTTGTTGATTTTTTTCAATCTGTATTGTCGGATCTCTCTCACCAATGTATAAAAAGCATCCTCCACTCTCTGCATTGTAAAACAAAACTTTAAAGTCTGTTTCATTGGTAATAGTAATTTTTTGGGACAGCCTTGTGTAAGAAGTTTGAAATTATGACCTTCACTTGAGAATTTCTTTTTAAAACAGACATCAGAT